ATATTTATTAAATTATCTTTTAAATAAAAATACATTTATTTTTCACGAATTGTCGGTAAAAGTTACTCTCGCGAATTCGTTTTATGTTAGCACAGTCTTTGCAATAGAAAAATATATAGTACATTTTCTCATTGCAGAATCTTCCTATATAATATATTAAGTTGTTGCATATAAAATGGCTCCAGCAAATTTTTCAGAGTTGATAATGATTAAATATTTCATTAAATATTATTTATTTTAGAATTTCACTGTTTCAAATATTCCATCTTTAATTAAATTATATATTAATAAGAATCAGATCAAAATTAATTTTGAAAATATTTTCCATATAAGTTTAACTTTGAAGTTATTCAAGAATATTAATTTAGAGAAGAATATTAATTTAACCTCAAAACTGAAAAATTTTTTTTTCTTTTATTTCAATTTCTATATATCAATAGATACTATTTTCAGTAAAATTTTAATTATTTTATATTTTATTGCAAAAATTTGATCACATCATCTATAATAACCTAATACATAACACGTGTTTCATGAGAAAATGGCGGAGTTCCAATCTGCCGGCTTTCAACGTAACTGTACTTACGAGGTAGAACACTTTAGGTGAAAGGAATATATACTTTTATTTTCATTTCTAACAAGATACTAGGAATTTCAATATAATAAAAAACCATTTTCTCGTCTTACATTCTTATTTCATTGTAAGAAACTAATTTTTTAGTTGGTTGGTCAATTGTAAAAATGGTCCATGAAACTCTATCTTTCTATATCTCTTTCTCATATAAATCTATATCTCTTTTTCAAATATAATATTATTATAATTTCGTCGATTTTTCTTTTTTATTATTCTATCCTTTCAATTTATAAAATTCGAGTGTGACATATGATAAATGCTTGAAAAATTTAAAATCATCATAAGGCACGCTGGTAATTTGTCTTTTACGCGAGCATGATTAATACAAATTTCTTTCGTTGGTATGCGCAACGTTCATAAAAATAATTCACAAATAACACTCGAACCGTATCGAAGATACAAGGAAGGGAAACACGCGATTCCAGTAGCGGATATAAAACGATCCGTTTTATTTTGTCGCATGTCCTTGAATCTCCACCTTTGGCATCCTTTGCACTTTTGTTTTTCAGTGAAAAATATTCTCGTCGTCTCAAGAATCGTGTTCGTTTCCATAGCTCTCCGAGGCAATCTGCAAGATTGACAAAAAATATTAGATATATATATATATATATATATATATATTTGTAATTTATATATAGTTATTTTATTTGCAAATCATTTAATATAATGTTATAATAATTTTAATAATGGAATTATTAGAGCAACATATATCATCTTTGTGAAGTTCGAAATCTCATAATATCTGCCTCCTAATTTGAAACTTGGAATAAACGAAACTTGTTACGCGCCAACCTAACCTAACTATATGCAGAGTGCAATATCGATTTGCCTGTTGCGCGTCGATGGACAAATATACCATCCGCATTCTTTCCTTTTACAACTGATGTTTTGCATGCGTCGCTTTTAAGATGATGCTGTTATTTCGAACCGAAATTCAACAGAACAGAGCCTCTCTTGCATGGCTGGCTGTTAAATGGCCGAAAATAGGAGGACGCGTTAATGTCCAAAGCTTGTTGCCGTCAAATTTATGCCTCTTGTAAGTTTATGCAAGCAAGTCTGTATAGGGGATATCAGCCACAAGTGGTCGTATGACGCCACACACATTCAGAAGTTTTTTACAAACATATAGACAATTCGTAGAAAATTCATATACACAGAGTAGAGTGATATATTTTAATCATAATTTCTCTTTGAATATATTTGAGAATACTATTTATATAAAAATATATTTCAAATGAAAATTATACGATTTTAGAAAATAAATATTCTGATATAATAAGATTTTGAAAAATTTTTCAATTAGTCTCGATTTTTCATTTCTCATAAGAGTATAATATAAAATAGAAATAGATTTTTATTTTATTTTAATTTTTTCATTCCTTTTTTCATTTTATTTCTTTCTTTTTTTTTCTTTTTATTATTTTTTTAGAAAGTAAAATTTTAATAAATTTCAATTTCTGAAAGTTTATAAACTCATATTTAATTGACCGATATTCAATAGACATTTTTTAGTTATGCACGTATAATCAAAGGCTCTTGCATTTTTTTTTTTTTTTTTTTTACAACAAAAACAATGCAATGTTTATATATAGAAAGTATATCCTGTTTTTAACGAGGAAATTTTGAAAGCGCACAAAAGCACTTAAAATGAGGAAAAAATGTTCGTACAAACACGACCACACGTTTACAATAATTCCTGAAATACAGCAACGTTAGTATTGTTGATTCGTGATTACAGTGTCTTTGATTAACACAGTACAAAAGAATATTAAGATTGTTGTAAAACAGAAATTTATTACTTTAAACAAATGGCAAATATTGCTTCTAGATCGATATTTAAATTTATTTACATATTTTCTTACGATCAGCGTTTTAAAAATTCCACATTAAAGTTAGAATGACGATTTTTTTTGTCCATTTTTATTATAATAATTTTATATGAAAAATTAAAGAATATTAATCAAAAAAAAAAAAAAAAATAATGAAAAAATTTTTCTCATTACTCACTTCGATCAGGCTTCCTGTAGTTCTCCTTTGATCCCGGGCACACTGTGATGGTGTCTTGAGGCAAGCTTATTCGCGAGCTCGTGCATCACATCTCTGTATATCACTGTGTCTAAATTCTCGCCGAGCATGTAGAGAAGAAACCAATCACCGACCTTGCTCCGCCGAACTATCGTTTCTACGGCCTCTTTTCTGACTAAACGAAATCGTAACCGTAGAAGATATACCCTCGTTCGTGGTGAAAATATAATTACGATCTAAAAAAAAAAAAGAAAATAATAAAAATTAAAAAAAAAAGACTAAACGAATATAAAAAAAATAACATAATAAATTGTATAATAAAAAAAAGAGAAAATATTTCGTTTACTTGAGTATACATTTTAAAAAGAAGATTAAGATAAATATATATATGTTTAAGGAGAAAAGAGTAGGTTTCAATCATTTTTTTAAAAAAAGAATGTTTTAAATGTTATTGAAGATATTTAATTAAATATTATGATGATAATAATTATATTGTACAAAAAAGAAAATTAAACAAATATTTCCGCGGTTTTCCATTTTAATTTTTTCATTTTTCTGAAAAGAAAGCTATTAATATATAATAATAGTTTAATATATTAATAATAAGTTTAAAGCTACTTTAGATATTTACAGAAATATATAAATTATAAATTTTGTTTTGAAATTTCTTAATCTCTGTTCATTATTTCCAAATTGAACAAGATTATCTCTTACAATAAAAATTTAGAATAAAATTTACAATAGATCTTTTTCAATTTATTTATTATATTTATAAGACAACAAAATTATAATTATAAAATCTCAAATCTTAAAGTAATCACAATTTGAAAAGAAGTTTAAAAAACAACATTTAAAGTCGAAATTTACTTAAAAATATATATATATTTACCCTGTATAAAACCGTGATGAAACTAAGCACGCCGAGAAAAAGGAACCAAAACCATAGAAAAACATATATTTTTTCGTTGACAACATTCAAGGGCAGTATGCAAACGGCGTCATGCCTTTCGACTTCACCGCTTACGCCATATTTGTAGAAGGTGCATTTAGTCATCCGCGGGAACACATAAATCATAGGATCGACCCGGTCTTCTTGATCCGATTCGAGAAACCTGAGCACGTCGATACCAAACGTCAAAAACGCACCATCGAAGAACCGGTTCATTAGAAACATCTGACCTGCGCAAATTCAAATATTTCTTACAATTTCTATTCGTTTATTCTTTCTAAATTAAATATAATATTTATTCGTTATAAATTATCTATGATCACCAAGAGATACGAAGTCTCAAGTCTCGGATTCATCTTTGCTCACATCGAATATAGAAAGTGATAGCGGACGAAAGACGAAAAAGAATTGAGCGTTTAAAACGTTAAAAAAAATTTACGATCTATTGTTTCAATATGAAATCATTCAAGAGGGATTCCTCTTTTCCCTAATAATAGCTTGAATGACTCGCGAGTATATATTCACGAGAAATGATCAACTATATAAGGAATAAATATAATGTAAATATAATAGATATCTAACTTAACCTAATTTAACCTCTATTTCGGTATCAGCGCTTTTATATATTCGAAAGAATTAGAAAAAATTCATTAAAATAATGAATTTTACATTTTTTTTTTGTTATTATATAAAAATTTGTTTGAGATTTTATAATAGAAGTGGAACATGTCCAACAATTTTTCAGGAATATGTACATATATATATATATATATTCAAGTATCCTTTGATCTGTAGTTTCATATATCATTTTGACAAGCGAATAACCATGGTCTTTATCTTCTTAGGTTAGCTATTTTTAAATCGGAAAATCATTTGACTTCTTTTATCAAAAGAAGAAAAAAAAGTTATGTTCGAGAATTATTTCTTCCTCTTCAAGCCAGTTCTAATTTAGAACTAGAATTTCCTCTATATAAATAAAAATAATAGTGACCCATCAAACTACTTTACATCCTTCCCAGGGATCATGATATAATAAACGAAAGAAATGGGAAAAATTGTTAATTTTCTTGATACTTTATAATTTTTTTCAATCATTTAAAGAATAATAAAATCATTATAATTGTTTCGACTACACGTGAGGTTATTTTGAAATTTCAAAGAAAGTCTTCTGTTTCCAGCGAAACGTGAATACAGAGAGCATTCTGTATGTTTCTCTTTGCCCATCAAAATTTTCCCATTTGCCATTCCTTTTATCATTTTCCCCATGTCGGTTACTACCGTTGATATGTTTATCTTCTTTCTGTTATTTGTTTTATTTTTAACGATTCTATATTTCTTTCATGGCTGACGGATTTTAAGGCCACAGACTCGGCTTTTGTTTCCATATTTTTTCCTCGAATCAGCAAAAGGGATTTTTAATCTTCTGTAATCGGAAAACAATTTATGATTAATTGCAGTTTCTTATTTATGAGTGAAAGATTACATAAGGAATGAGAATCATTATGGAGAAATTTTTTAATAGCTATTCGATAACATTAAATAAATAAAACCATCTTAAAATATAAAAATATCAGTAAATATTAATTTAATTAAAAAATTGTTAGTGATATAATATTATTTGATCTAATTTTTCTATTATTTAATCTAAACCAAATTTAATAAATAATTATATTCTGTAAAAAATCCAGTATTAAATCTAGTCAAATTATTGAATTGAATTATATTTAGTTTAATTTTTTTTATTCAAACATTTAATTGTTAATTAACTGGATCAAAGAAAATAACATATCTAATTTAATCTAATTTAAACATTCTCTAAACCTATTCCCAGAATTCCAATTTCAGATATTGAGGATAATTCCATGATAGTTAAGCATCATTCTAATTCTATATGTACAATATTTACATACATACATATTTGCTTTGCTAACTTCCATCGTTTTGGACATCAATTCTTAGAAATAGAACCTCGAAGTAAACAAAGTAAAATGTGCTAAATGAGGTAAACTGGTGAACGAAATTTGACACCGATACTTTGTTTACTTTATTCTTTTATTCTCTTTCTTTCGCTCAAGTTGAATCCGCACAAGTCATTTGCCCAGTTCAAACTGCGAATGCTAAAGCGGGCACTATTATAATTCTGTTTCACGTATATATAAATTCATCAAACAAACAAATGTCAGCAAACAGAAACGTCAACGAAATAAACATGGGCGAACAAACGTGGATAGCACGTACAAACGATCGTGAAACGATTTCCTCGGTTATTGGTACATCAAACCAAAATATTCACGATCATATAATAAGGATGAAACGTACAGACTTCTGTGCTTAGCGATAGGGAAACCAGACTTGTGGAATCAGGAATCAACAAACAATGTCGAATCGGATCTTGCTCCCTGTGCATTCGTTCATCTTTACTACTATTCATTTATGTTAATTTGGATTAGTTCGAGTTTCCATGTCTGCTCATTCGTCAGGTATAGGTTATAAAGAGGAATCGGTGTTAACAGGCAACCAGTGAATGAACGATTCACAATAAAATTTGGCAACGATACAACTGGCCATCTGCTCTATGCATTCTAAATGGCCAATCTATACAACTGTCTTGCTTTTCTTTGAAGTTATTTTGTTCTATATTTCTGTCAACAATTCTACTTGTTTCTTCTTAAAAAATTATATAGAATGAATTATATAATTATATAATATAATTTGATTAAAGAGAATATATTCATTGGTAGAATGATGAAAAATATTCATTTTTAATAATCATTAATTTCATCTGTTGAAAATCAATATAATTTTTTTTTTAAATATTCATTATGTAATGAATAGAAGTTTTTGTTTGGAAGATTTTATTTTCAAGACAGCTTTTTGGGTTATTTATTTATATTAATTTTAATAAAGTCTAATAATAACTTTCTTCTCTTGTTTTCATTTGTGGCTTGCAAAAAAAAATAAAAAATAAAAACAATAGATTTATAATACTGTATATTATAAATTATTCTTTATATATTGTATATAAAAAAAACTTAATCTCAAAGGAGGTAAACATATGACTGAAAAGAAAAAAGAAAAAAAAAAAAGAAAAAATGGAAGGACAAGGGAGAGAAGAGAGTTTATGTTACAAACTTAACTCCATTAGAATAGCTTGACGAATTTATAGTGGCATTCTGGTTTATGTCATTTATTCGTGGTGTACCTCTAATGGGGATTGCAACTCGACCTCTTCTGGAACGACATTAAAGCGTGAAACTTCAAAAAGGAACTAATTTACTCTTTAGTGTTCGTCGAGAAACTCATCGCCAGTATTTCGCATTTATTTTTGGTAGCATAAAAAAGAATGAAGTTGCCAGTTCCATGGTCAAAACATGAAATATATATCTTATATATTTATAACATTATCATTGAATAATATTTTAAATTGAGGATTAACAATTTTATAATTATATATATATATATATTTAATAATTTCATTTATTAATTATGTATATTTAATTTTTTTTAATATTTTTTTTTATTTGTATAAATTGAAATTTATATATATAAAATATATAGAAAATATATATGTGACTACTCGAGAATTTTTGTCAATTTTTGTACGCAACAGAAATTCTGCTATCTAACTGAAACTTAATCTGATTATCAAACGAAAATTGCTACAATCAATTGCTCATCAGGGTAATCATATGAAAATGATCTTGATAAGAATTATAAATGATATTCACTTTAATTCATCTAATCGATAGCAAATTATCAATCATTAGCATGACTGTATTTTAAATTGAATAAATAAATAGAATTAAATAAATAAAATTTCGAATTTAGATCGATAAATATAAATACATTGCATAATTCATTGATTTAGTATTGTTTTATTAATTAGAAATGTTGTTTTCTGTTACATCTAAAACAAATATTTTTATTGTACAAAATAATTTAAAATCTCAAATGAATTACCAATTGTTTTGCATTGGTAATTTTCATTTTTTTTTACACATATAATTATATATCATTTGATTTTTTTTAGCTATATTACATGTTATTCAAAAATTTGTCAAAAATAATTCTCCGCTTCTCGATAGATTATCATTGTATTTAATTACACTTTCTTCCGCCTAGTGGCGCTGTTACCTCATTCAATTCTGAATCGATAATGTCACATGTGATACGAGAATGATAATAGAAATTATGTATCCTTCGAACTGATATAAAAATATCATTAAATGAATAATGATTCTATTCTATAATACATAATCTGTGAAGAGGATAAAAATCTCTTTTAACAATTTTCATGATCTTTTATAGTATAACTTATATGAAATGTAATAAAATTTCCTAAAATGAACTTCGAATACAATAATAAAATAAAATTTATGAAAATAAAATGTAATTTGTCACATATCAATAAAATCATCGAGAAAAAATATCACTCACCGATCACATTCAGCAGAGCGAGAACTTCACAAAGGTAATATCTGTAAGCCCACCAATTGTGAAACCGAAGATTCTCCCATAAATAGTCAAGTAACATCTTCTTCTTTTGCTTCTTCTCGACTTCGGAACAAAGGCCGATGTCGAGATCCATCATCAACGCATGGATCTTGCCACCCTCCCAGCCTTTCCATAACCATCGAGGCGTATAGAAGAGGATTGCCTGGAAAAAAAATAGTCATACGTCTTAATTTTGCTGTGCAATGTAAAACATTTTCAAATATATTTTATTATTTCGATAATGAAAAAGCAATATCTTAATGAAATATCTCGTCGATAAAATATCTTTTTTATAAATAATTTTTCATAAATAAGTCATTTATTAAAAAAATAATTAAAATTTAAATTCAATGATACATATAAGTTTGGAAGTTTGGAATATAAAAAAAAATAAAAATGAAATTATAACTTTTCTTTTTTTCATATTGGATACCAAAATTTAAAAAATTCTCTAGAGAATTTCTTAATTTTAATGATTTCATTAAAGTTGAATATTTAAAAGTAATTTTGTCTAGTTAAATTTCATTTATTATCCTATTTGTCAAATCTACCAGAATAATTGTCATCTTGCCAAAAATTTAAATAATTCTATCGTTATAACGCACGGAATTAGCAAACTATACGAGATCAGTGATCTCGATCGATAGATCATCAACACTGTTCTCAGACTCTTGGCACGTGCCTAAAGATATCAAATTAGCTATGGATTTCGTTAGAAACGATAAAATCGCAATAAATGGGGGCATTGTTTTCAGCAAGCGAATTGATTAATTGTTATTGATCAAGAACGATTCATTTGGTTAACGAACTTATACATTGTAGAAATGACTAAGCGGAGAAATTTTATTACGAGAACGTTTAAAAGTTCGAAATGTTAAGATTAAAGTGGATTCATTTTATGTGTATACATATAAAAATAGAAGTAACAAAGTAAAAAATAAAACTCTAACCTTTAAATATATGTTTCCAATGTGTACACGTAGATTGTTAAACTTTAAAAATATTCTGGAAAAATTTTAATATGCCAGAAACTCTGACAAATTAACTTTCATTTGTTATAATATATCATGCTTATATAACCTCTTTCAGATTTGCACAAACACATGGTACGATGAATAATTTTTCGTTTGTCACAGAATAGTAAAATTAAACCAACCTAACCTAATTTGGAACTGTCAGATATTTTTTTAATTTCTAATTGGAAACAATTTTCTTATGTTTACTATAAAAACATATCGATTGATTAAAAATATCAATCAACAAACTTTTTTTTTCAAAATTATAAATCGACGAAGCTTCGAAAGAAAAAAAAGAACGTAACTATAGGGCAGTGAAAAGGGTCGTTCTGTTTTTGCGTTGTATATTGAACGCGAATCCAATACAAAAAGAAAAAAACCATGGATGGAAATAGAACGAAGCTAACTATACTTCACCGGTGCTCACGTGCCAGTTGGGTGCATGCACTGTTCGGAAGAAAAAAAGGAAGAACAGCAACGCCACGTGGGAGCAGGCGGTAAATGGATAAAATTGGCCAAACAAGCGGAAAACCCGGTGGAACGGTTGGAACACGTGACAGTTCTTCTTGTCTCATTTCGTCCAACATTTAACCATTTGAACGCGACAGAGAAAAATAGAAATGGAACGATACATTGCAAACAAGGGAAATGGAGATTTTTAATGAGTACGAGCATTAACTCGTGAAATCAATTATTTAATCCTTGTAATGAATAGAGAAAAAAATTTAAATTATTATAAATATATTTTCTCTCAAAAATTTTAATTTTATTTTAATTTCAAAAAAAATTTTTTTTAACTTTTTTTATTTTATTAGAATATAGTTTAATGAACATAATAATGTTTATTATGTTCATTACAGATTACAGCATGAAAAATTATATCCGTTATAAATGATTTTTTTTATCTGAAAAAGAAAGATTAAATAGGATCATCAAATACTAAAACTCAAGATTGATGATTCATAAAAGAACAACGATGCTATTTCTGATCGTTCCCTCGTGAATGAGATCTATTTCCAAGAACTGTTCTAATTACGCATAACCTTCCGACGAAGAGATTTTCCCATGTTCTGCGTTAAAACGATCACATCGAACGCAGTTATTATTCTGCTTAAATAAAAACTAGTTGAAGGACTCTAAGACCCAACCTTGACTTATGAGTATGATTATAATCTGCTAGAATCGATAATTAGAAATATTTGCTTTTTATTTAAATGACTAATTTAATTACAAGAATGTCACACTTTTAATTTTATTTTTATTAATGAAAAAAAACTAATATAATTAAAAATTTATACCACTTTAAAAGACACTTTCAATGGTAAGAAAAATCTTTATTTTAATATTAAAATTTATTTACTTTTCAAGAATCGAATAATCTTTAATAATAAATTATCATAACGAATAAGATTTATTCATGAGAATTTAAGAACAGAATTTATGACAAAAATTTTTCAATATAAAATAATACTCCTTTAAAGAAACCCAATTAAAATTCAACTATCAATATTGTTCAATTTCAAATATCTACTTCAAATAACGAAATAATTTTCTCATACTTGCACTAGTAGGAAAAAGATGACCCATTGATAGTACTTGTGCTGTTTGACCAACGGATGCGATACGTGTCCGTGTATTCCATCACCTTTGCTGTTCGACACACCAGGATACGGCACTGCCTGGCCCAGACTCTTGTTAAACGCGTGCACCATGCTGTACGTGGTATGGAGCCAACAGAAAGTCTCTAACACGATTTTATCCACAGAACCGGACGCCTCGCAATGAATCGGTGAACCGGAAATACTTTTGCAGGCCAATGTGACGCATCCACCGAGGAGTAGCGCCACTGTTGCGCGATAATGCAGCCGAAATGTCATCGTGTCGACAGAGATCTTTTGAATTTTGAACAGAGATCTCAACGAGCCGAACACATCGATCATTTTCAGCAACAGAGGCATCTTTGTACGTCGTATACGGCGAACTGCTTTCGAGATCACGGAAGTATCTTTCTCGAGAAGACAGTCGCTCTCTTCGTTTAGCTGATCCGTTTTTACGAATGATTATTGGACATAATAAAAATGAAGGTTGTTGTTATGGATGGAGAATTGGTCGATTTGAAATTGAGGTTAGTTTGATCGTTGAGAAATTATTTATTAAATTGAAAATTGAAGAAAGAATTATATTGAAGTTTATTCTTCAGAAATTATCAAAATTGAAAAAGTTAGGTTAGGTTAAAGAAAATAGAAAAATTAGATATTATAAAATTAATAGCTGAGGAATTATTAAAGTTGATAGAAATATTAATGGAATTGAAATTGATGGTTGAGGAATTATCGAGGCTGATGGAATTAATTGAATTGATAAAAATATTTAGAAAAATTAATTGAATATTGAAAAATCCTTTTTCATAGATAAATGTGTAAAAATGAGGTTGAGATTTGGAGTTGAATAAAGTTTATTATTGGATTTTAATTTTAAATTAAGGCTTATCACTGAAAAATTGAAATGTTTAGTTGTCAAAAATAAAAATTGTTGTTAAAAATCGATTTAAAAAATCGAAAGTTGTTAAACGTTGGAAAATTATAAAAATTATTGGAAATTATTAAAATTGATATAAATTCCAATTCCAATTTTATTTTTTTTTGTAAGTACTGCTAATAATCGTGAACAATGTTTACGATGTTCAGTGTTTACGAAATTTCTTTGAGTTTCGTGTATTATATACAGAATTTTCAATTTATCACTGATCTAATGGTGTTGAAAACTTTTTTTGTATATTTCGCGGAAGAAATATCAAAAAATCAGAGAGAAATAATATTCATTATTGTGAATCTGTTTTCCTCGTCATGTTCTTCGTGATTATTCTTGCAAAATTCCGACCAATTGAATTTTTGCAATCAAATCGAGAACAGCTTCACTACGTGCATTTTGCTTGCTCTCCGCTTTTCTATCTTTCGAATATTAATTTACTCCACCAATATTTTTTATTTTTATACAAAAATATCTCATTTTCCATTTTTTACCTCACTTCTTTCAATATTTCTATTTCTATCTACAAACTTTTTAAAATTCATTATTAAAAGATCGAATAAATCAACAATCTCTTGGAAAATTTCTTTCTTCAATCTCCAAACATTTTAACTCCAATAACTTGTTGAAGAAGAAATCTTGAGATTATCAGATTCACACGCGGTTTTTATAAAAAAAAAAAGGATTTTTATAAAAAAAATGGACACATGAATTGATTAAATACACAGCATCGTTTTTTCTTTTACTATTTTTTTTTTTATTTTGATAAAGAAGTGAATGAAGTAGAAGAAGAGGATGAAACGACTATTCGGACACAGTGAGACACGTGGGGCACGGAAGCAAGCCGTTAGAAGACTGGTCGAACTTGAGAGGCATCCCTTGGCCTCGATGCTAAACACATAACTTATATGATCTTCTAAGTATCTTTCTCTTGTCATGACAATGAAATGTACGTATTCATATTATTTATCAATTAATTATAAATAGTTTTTATTTTATTATTGGTTTTTATAATGAAATTTTCATAATACTTTATTTATTATTATACTTATTCACTTATTAAAGCATTTGTAAATGGATCTAAATAAATTTGTATTTAAATAACGTTATTCAAATATGGAACAAACAACTTTTAATTTCATTCTAAAATACATAGACATTAATATATATATATATATATATATATATATATATATA